CCGACTCCGTGCTCTTACACGGAGGCGATAGAGGGTCCCTACTCCTCTCAGTGGCAGGCAGCTATGGATGCAGAGATGGCTTCCTGGAAGTCCACAGGCACCTACGTTGACGCTGTTCCCCCTCCTGGGGCAAACATAGTCAGTGGCATGTGGATTTTCAGGGTGAAGCGGCCGCCGGGTTCTCCGCCTGTCTTCAAGGCGCGTTACGTGGCTCGTGGCTTCAGTCAGCGGCAGGGAGTTGACTACTTTCAGACCTTCTCCCCCACCCCGAAGATGACCACTCTTCGGGTACTGCTGCACGTTGCTGCTCACCGTGACTACGAGCTGCACTCTCTCGACTTCAGCACTGCTTTCTTGAAGGGCAGCCTGAACGAGGAGATCTGGCTGCGCCGCCCACCTGGCTTCACTGGGTCGTTCCCTCCTGGTACCTAGTGGAGTCTCCGGCGTCCAGTCTACGGTCTCCGCCAGGTGCCACGTGAGTGGCACGGCACACTGAGGAATACGCTGGCGCCACTTGTGTTTGCTCCTTCTACTGCCGACCCGTCGCTGTTTCTGCGCACAGACACCTCTCTGCCGCCGTTCTACATCCTCGTGTACGTCGACAACTTGGTCTTTGCCACAGCTGACACTGCTGGACTCGCCTACGTGAAGTCCGAGCTGCAGAAGAGACACACGTGCACTGACCTGGGTGAACTGCGCAGCTACCTTGGCTTGCAGATCACCCGGGACAGAGCACGGCGCACCATTACCCTGACTCAGTCACACATGGTGCAGCAGGTCCTTCAGCGCTTCGGCTTCACGTACTCCTCGCCTCAGGCCACTCCTCTGCCTACTCGCTACTCGCCCTCAGCTCTGCCTTCGGATGAGTCCGTAGAGTCGAGTGGTCCGTATGCAGAGCTTGTTGGCTGCCTCATGTACCTGATGACCTGCACACGACCTGACCTTGCATACCCTCTTAGCATTCTCGCACGCTATGTTGCTCCTGGGAGACACCGACCAGAGCACATGGCTGCAGCGAAGAGGGTGTTGCGCTACTTGTGCAGTACGTCGGGCATGGGGCTAGTGCTTGGAGGGCGCAGTCTAGTGGTCCTCACTGGGCACGCGGACGCTTCTTGGGCTGACGACCAGGCTACGCAGCGGTCGTCACAGGGTTACACCTTCGGCCTTGGTTCCGGCTCTGTCTCGTGGCGGGCTACTCGCTCGTCTTCTGTTCTCGGCTCCAGTTGTGAGGCTGAGATCTACGCCGGGGCTATGGCTGCTCAGGAGCTTCGCTGGCTCACCTACCTGCTGACCGACCTTGGAGAGCCGCCTCGTTCTCCTCCAGTCCTGTACGTAGACAACAAGGCCATGCTGGCCTTGTGTCGAGAGCAGCGACTGGAGCACAGGACAAAGCACATTGCTCTCCACTACTTTCTTGCTCGTGAGCTACAGCAGCGTGGACAGTTGCGACTTGCGTACGTGGCCTCTGAGGCCAACACTGCTGATGTCTTCACCAAGGCACTTGCGCCTTGTGATCATCAGCGTTTCTTCACGCAGCTGGGTCTTGTGCCTGTCCTGCCTCACTTGCTCACTTCTTGACCTTGCTTGTACCTTGACCTATATATACTCTTGTTCTTGCTTGCTTGACTCTTGTATATCTCTATATATGCTCTTGCATGTGAACTTGCCTTGTGGCCCTTGAACTTGTGCTCGGAATGTGTGGTGACTTTGTGATCCACCCTGAGCTTTGCTTTGCTTTGCTTGACTGGTCTTGTGACCCCTTGTTCTCCCCCACTTTGCCTATGGGGGTGTGTCAGAATATTATAGCTTACTTATTTGTGTAGGCTATAGTGGGGTATCCTATAGGGGGTACAACCCAACTAGGGTTTTCTATTTGTACTCACTCCGTTTATAGTCATTTCATTCTCGTTCTAACTTTCTCAACCCACACGGTGCGGTGGCTGTCTCGAGGAGATGCCGTGGCCAGGCTGTGCAAGGTCCTCGGCGCTTGCATCGTGGTGCTCTGGGAGCACAATCACAAGGCGTACGAGATTGTCACCTGCTACAAGTTTCAGTTCTGCTTGTTTTTCTTGGCCGACATCTTGGCGGACATGAACGACCTCAACCGCTGCTTCCAGAGACGAGAGGTGAGGTCGCATGTTTGTATGATGTTGCTACGTGAGGTTCGTAACTGCACTGTTGCTCATCCTTCTCCCTCTTGTCTACCCCTGCTCTGACACAGCTGGACGTGACTGAGATTGCGAAGACGATCGAGTCCACAACGAGTGACCTGACGGAGCGCTACTTGACGCCAGAGAAAGCTTTCGGGGGCGAAGGGAAGAGTTGGCTGGTGAACTTCCTCAAAGTCCACAAGGAGGGTGGAGGCAAGCAGGTCCGGGTGCGCGGCGTGGACGGTGCTGTGCATGAGCGGAAGCTGAAGGGGCACAAACACGGAAGCACCTACGCAGATTGCGTGAAGCTGTGCCACAAATTCGCCCGTGACTGCGTGGACAACCTCAACAACCGACTAGATGACATTGGGAAGGTGGGGCAGACGAAGCTGTTCCGGGCGGGGAAGTGGCCGAAGATCAAGGCCCAGCGAGAGAAGAAGTGTAAGGAGTGGCTGAACAGATGCAGCAGGCTGTTCCGCAACAAGCTGCCGGGATTCGAACTCAAAGCAGCAGAGAGGGAGCTTCTAACCTTCTGCGCGATCATGGAGGCACACCATGAGATGGAGAGCTTCACCCAGGGCCTGTCCAACTTCCTTGGGAGCGCAGACTCGAAGAGGTAGCCTATACTTTGCTAACATGGGTTTTACAATCTTGTTGCGCATCGCTAACTGTTTCCGTTGTGTTGTGTGTACGAATGTGCCTGGCAGGAGATGGCCCAACCTCATCCTGCTGTGGCAGGCGCTGACTCTGCTACCCCTCTCCACCGTGGAGTGCGAGAGGGGGTTCTCCAGGCAGAAAGTCATCAAGTCCTGGGTGCGAGGAGCGCTGTGCAACGCGCGTCCGGGGGAGCTGATGCAGATATCGCTCCTCAAGTATGAGATCGACTGGCCGGAGGCACTGGAGGTGTGGAGGTCCCTGCGGTGGAGGCGCCCTGCGAAGAGCTTGAAGCTGGCTGTGGCAGAGAGGGAGAGGAGGGGGAAGCAGAAGAAGGGTGAAGATGTGGCTGCTAGAAATGCCGGGGAGAATGAGGATGAGGAGGAGGAGGAGGAGGAGGAGGAGGAGGAGGAGGAGGAGGAGGAGGAGGAGGAGGAGGAGGAGGAGGAGGAGGAGGAGGAGGAGGAGGAGGAGGAGGAGGACGATGAAGTGGAACAGTCCTTCGGCGACGATCAGGAGATCGTGGGGGAGGAGGAAGCGGAGGACAATCCATTCCTGTCAGACGATGAGGATGTGGAGGAGGTGTACTTCATAGACAAGCCCGTGCACTAGACTAGATAGAATAGGAAAGTGCATGCAGTTGTATCATTTTGGAAAATAGTGCACTGTTAATAGCAACCCTGTTTTTGAGCTGTGAACCCTGTCCGGTCAGAGTTGGACTTCGTGTGACACTGAGCTATCAGGGTAGCTACCTTGCGAAAAATGTGCCCTCATAATAGAGGGTAAAAAATTTTACTGGAATCAGGGAGTCCTAAAACGAAACGTCAGCCCTGTTGAGAGGGCTTTACTTGGGAGTAACTTCAAGCCTTGGGTAGGATGATGGTCCTTCCTTTAGCTTGTAGCTTGGAGCTTCCTTATATTCTCGTAGAGTATGAGGTAAGCGACTCTTCACTTGATAGATACTTTGTAGTCTAGGTAGAAAGGAACTTTATGAGCATAAACTTATATTGAAAGAGGTATAGTACAAGCCTTATAGATCCATGAGGGATACATAGGCATGAATAGAGAGAGTAACCATCAATGGTAGCCTTGGAAGAGAGTAGCATGAGAATATCAACTTTGGAGATATTGAAACTTGGTTGCTAGTGAAGAGCCTTTGTAGTTGAAGAGGAGCTTGAAGGAGAAGCTTGGAATAAGCTTGGAGAGGAGCTTGATGAAGAAGCTTGAGAGGCATTGTTGTCATTGAAGAACCTTCTTGAGAAGTTGTAGAGATGCTTGATGTAGATGAACAGTATTGGAGCATGTGGTGGTGGTTGAGCACTTGGTGAGTTGGAGATGTAAGCCTTGTTGAGTTGGAAGAGAGCTTAGTGAGTTGGTTAAGGATGAGTGGAGGACATGATGAGCTTTGTTGCCTTTGAATAGGAGGTGATGAGATAACCATGAAGTCCTTAGGGATGAGGTGGCAACTTTGGTGACTTGGGAAAGGAAGGAAAGAATAAATGAGAGGCATGTGGAGGTTGATGACTAGGAAGTGGAAGCATGTGCTTGAAGGCATATGGGAGGAGGATAATCGGAGGAGGTAAATGACTTGGGTAAACTTTGATAAGTAGGAAAGGAAAGCATATGGAAAATCATGAGGAGTCATGTGCCTTATGGTGGGACTTGAAGATGAGTATGGGAAGTTGGTTTGAATATTGGTTGAGTTGGACTAGGAAAGGCTATGGTGGTTGGAGATAGTTAAGGAGGAGTTGGTGGGCTTGGCTTGGAAAAGATGAGTTGGAAAAGGAAAGTCTTGGTGGTTGGGTAATTTGAATGGGTTTGGAGGGGTTGGGTAATTTTGGGAAGGTAGGAAGGAAAGTTACGAGAGTGTTTTGAGGGGAAGGGGTTGGAGTGCCAAAGTGGGTAGCACGTGATGCGTGTGCTATTCGCAACAGTTCCCCTCCCGACACTGCTGTGCATTGCTAGCCTCTAACAGGAGCATCAAGGTGAGCGACACGAGCAGCCAAGTCGCTTTACCTTGATTTCTGCGTCCAGCCTCGCCACCACTTCGATCTCTGCTGCGCTTCTGTCCACCACGGCTGGACGTCTCACGCCCCACCTGTGATTCTTTATCCAGCAGCTTTGTCAAAGCAGTAACGGCGTTCCAGCCTGAACGGCGTGGTACTGACAGTGACGAGGGAGAAGATGGCGGGAGGTATGGACGAGAGGGATGAGCACGTGGCGGCGTTGGAGGCGAAGCTGAGGGATCAGGGCGACGCCATGGCCGCCTTGAAGCAAGAGATGGACGACATGCGCCGCGCCATGGCGGCGGAGGTGGCGTACGTGAAGGCGACGGCGGCGCACTCGGAAGCGCGCATCAACGACATCGAGCTGGCGCTCGCCGCCATCAAGGCCGGCCCCGCGGAGAAGATCCGTGAGGAGCGCAACGAGGGCAACGGCGGGAAGAGGCGGAAGAGAGAGGAGTCGCCGGGGAAGGAGGGGCGCATGGCCGCTGCTGCTGCGGGCACTGAGCCTAAGCTAACTGTCGGAGGTAGTGCGACCGAAGGAAAGGGGGATAAGGCGGAAAGCGAGAAGGCGGCGGAAAGCGAGAATGCAGCGGAAAGCGAGAGCGAGGAGGAGTGGGGGGCGAATGGAGAGGAGGACTTCGACGCGGAGGCTGAGCTGCAGGAGCTGTGCTACCGCGTGGGCGCTGGAGGAGTGAACGGCGGTGGAGGAACTGAGGAAAGACGTTGGAGGCAAGACGTGGGAGGTGAGGCCCTTGCTGCGGCCCTTGCTGCTGCCCTTGCTGCCTTGCGCCTGTCCTTCCTTCCTACTCCCCTTCCTGCTGCCCTTCCTGCTGCCCTTCCAGCTGCCCTTCCTGCTGCCCTTCGTGCTGCCCTTTCTGCTGCCCTTCCTGCTGCCCTTCCTGCTGCCCTTTCTGCTGCCCTTCCTGCTGCCCTTCCTGATGCCCTTCCTGCTCCCATTCCTGCTCTCCATGATGCTCCCTTTGCTGCCCTCCTTGCTGTCTTTGCTGTTTTATTATTCAGGTGGTTGTTTATTTTGAAATACTGACATTTTTTTCTCTCAAATGTCACAGCCTGTCTCTGCTCCTGACCTTACTCCTGTCTCTGTTCCTAGCCCTGCTCCTGTTCTTGCTGTTTATATTATCGTTTTTTTTTTTTTTTTTTTTTTATTGCTGTGGCACGTATTGGTGCCTTGCTGCTCCCCTTGCTGCTCGTGGCTGCAGGCACTGCTGACGCTGTGGAGCAAGGTTACGCCAGGAGAGACTCGCATGGATATCATTGATGACTACCTCACCGACGATGCCCTCTCTCAACTCACCTCCCTGCGCTCTCTCACGTCACTCAACCTTGCTGAATCCTCCGGCTACACTGCAGAGGGGGTGACGCAGCTCTTTTCCCTCACAGGTCTCACGGACCTAAATCTGGAGGAGACAAATGCAACTGACGCTTCTCTTGAAGGTATCAGCAGCCTGAAACATCTTAACTCACTTTATCTTGGTAAGACCAAGATAACCGATGCAGGGGTAGTGAAGCTGCGGGGGGTGACTGCACTTGTGAAACTGGGCTTAAATAACTGTGAGTCAGTCACCTCGGGGAGCATGGTGCACGTGGGGAAGCTGGCATCACTAGAGACTCTCTGGCTGGATGACAGTGGAGTGAGGGAGGACGGGCTGAAGCAGCTGACGACTCTCACTTCCCTGAAACTCTTCAGCCTGCCTCGAGGCGTGACCGATTCCAGCATGAAGCACCTGAGGAACCTGACACGCCTGGAAAAGTTGGGGCTGTGGAATGCCAAAATCACTGCTAAGGGTGTCAACTGGCTGAAGGGGCTTAATAGCCTGAAGAGGATTGGGTCAGAAGCTGAAGAAGTTGAAGGGTTGACTAGGGACGGCCTTCCTGGAGTGATCGTCAAGGATAGTGCAACTCTTGAATGATAGACACAGTGCGTAATGCAGTGTACAATATTGGTGAAATAGAAATGTCGCATGCTACTGGAGTTGTGTCCATCAACAATTACTGCAACTGCATGCAATGCGATCTACAATGTACACATCGCAGTGCACTCGGACAAATGATGTCCTACCTCATTTACTTGCTGTCTTTTGTAGTAAAATCTTGAGGAGCACTTACGGCAATGTTTGTAACAATTCTGAGCATATTTTGGGGCTCTTCTCAGCCCAACACCCCCCCACCCCTCCATCCCTAGCCTAGCCCTCTTTGCTATGCTAAGCCGCACATGAGAGAAGAGCCACCTCATCCTCCATGCAGCAGTGGTGGTGCGTGCGAAGCAGCGGCAGCACAAAGCCCTGCAGCTCCGCCTGCTCTGCCAGTGCATGCGCCTCCGCCCCCACCACCTGCGCTAGCATGTAGAACTGGGGGAGGAGAGGGGGGTGAAAGGAGGGGAGCGTTGGTGGGGCTCATAGTGGGCTCCCACCACCTGCGCCAGCATGTGGAACTGCAGCCGCAGACTGCACAGCACGCGAAAGTGGCAGGCAGAAAAGGAAGACTGCACAACACAACTAAAAAAAAACATCCTGCTGCAGTCGAAGAACACCGCCCTTCAGCACGTACCCCCTGCTGCAGTTTGGTCGTGGCAGGGATGTGCTGCGCTCTAAGGTCGAGCACCATGTGCAGGATGGGGATGAGGCACGTGCTGTAGCGCGGGTTTGGTACCAGCCTGCAACACCGGGGTGCATGCATGGGGGTGTTGAGGGGTAGTGAGAGGCGGGAAGGGAAGAGAAGTGAGCCTAGTGATAGACATAGATGGGTTGGGATGAGGAGAACGTTTTTAGGAAGGAAATATACACCAAGCAGGGTGTGGAGGGTAGGGATGGGAGATGAAAGGGTGGGGAGGTGTGACTATGACGGGGGGGTCGGGGGTTACTGCAAGGGTGTATACGTGGTGGTGTGACTGTGTAGGAGAATGCAGAGAGGTGGAGGCAGGTGGGTGGGATGCAATGGCAGAGGGAACTTGCGAAGCACACAACAAGAATGGGTCGAGTGGCACTGAAAGGCGATGCAAGCAGGGAGGGGCGTTGCAAGCAGGGAGGGGCGATGCAAGCAGGGAGGGGCGACACAAGCAGGGAGGTGCGATGCAAGCAGGTTGGGTTTACTTTTGGCAGAACTGCAGGAAGAGGCTGAGCGACTTGACTGGCAGCACGGCAATGGCATTGGCCAGCACGTTGCGCGCTACCATCTCCTCCAACACCGCTATTAGCATCTGGGGGGGGAGGGCAGGTGCGAAAGGGGGTGTAAGGGTGGGCTTTTGAGTCGACACAGAAACATTGGCCAGCACGTTGCGCGCTATCATCTCCTCCAACGCCGCTATTAACATCTGGGAGGGCAGGGGAAGAAGAGGTGCAGGGAGGGCGGGTGGGTGGGGTTTGGAGCTATCATCTCCTCCAAAACCGCTAACAGCATCTGGGGGGGGGGGGAGAGGGGTGGAGGAGGAGGAGAGAAGGACGGGTGGCTGGGGGTTGCGAGCTAACTAATCCTCCACCAGCATCTGCAGGGGGGCCGAGGGGCGAGGTAAGGGGGAAGACAAGCTATTCACGAAGGGAGCTGCGGGGAGATGGCACAGCATCTCTTTGCTAGTAGCGACGAGCACTGATCTCGAAAGGGGGAGCAGGGTGCGAGAGGAGAGAAAGGAAGCAAGGGAAAGTGGGAAACAACAGCAAGGAGAGATTGAAGAAGGGGGAAACAGAACGAGGAGAACAACAAGGGAGGGGTATAAAAGGTGAAAGGCAATAAGACAAGTGTACTGCATGGTGGTTCAGCCCTTGAGGCTCCTTACACTTAGGCAGTCCACCACCATGTGGGGCGCTGCCACATGCTGACCATGTCTTGCTCGGCGGATGCTGCCCTGCTGCCATGCGAGGCCTCATGGAGCATGCCGCCCGTGTTACTCTGCTATGGATGCCACACACACACTTGCCTCCCTTCACTCTCCATGCTCTGACTCTCCTGTCAAATGCATGCGCTTGCGCTGCGCCACCAGATAGGTGTGTGCGTCGGCCTGATGCACACACGGGGTGGTTGCAGGGATGGGGATCGAGAAGGAGATGGGTGAGAGGAGTGGGTGGGATGTGGTGGTGGCCGTTGAACACCTGTACGGAGAGGAGGGGAGAGTAGGGGGAGGAGGACGGATGGGGAAAGAGGAGCGAGGAAGGGGGAAAAGGAGGAAGGGGAAGAATGGTGGGTGAAGGAACAGGACAGCGGGGTGAAAATAGCGCTAGGGGGCTCGAATGAAGGGAGAACCTCAATATGTCACTCGCAAGGAGCATATGGTCGAGAAGAGTAGGGACACAGCGAGGTGGGAGAGGCATGGTGCGTGCATGAGGCACATGAGGCGGGGAGGGAACAGAACAGTCGACGCCAGGGTCCGGAGAACAGCAGCAGGTAGGGAAAACCAAGGCGATTCACTCACGGGTACAGTGCAGCACGCAGGCAGGGCACGTGCCGGTAGGAGGAGATTGCAGGGTAGGTACGCATGCAGACACGAACATGCCCTCGCCCATCTCACACTCTCCGTTCCCCTCAGCTCCCCATGGAGTTGCCACTGCCTCTGCCCCACAGCCCCCCTCACCCCCAATTTGCCCCCTCCTTGCCGCTGTGCGTCCCACTATCCCCGCCCCCATGACAGCCCCTTGTGCCCGGCCTGTGTCCCCCCCAGCGCAGTGCGCGCCTGACTGCCCTGCACGATGCTCTGTGCCCGCCCGCCACCAGCAGCTTGCCCTGCCTGGGCACCACGCGCACGGCAAGGGAGGGAGGGAGAGAGGGGAGGGGAGGAGAGGGGAGGGGAGGGGAGGGGAGGGGATGGGAGGAGAGGGGAGGAGAGGGGAAAAAGAGGGAAGGGGAGGGGAGGGGAGGGGAGGGGAGGGGATGGGAGGAGAGGGGAGGAGAGGGGAAAAAGAGGGAAGGGGAGGGCAGGGGAGGGGAGGAGAGGGGAGGAGAGGGGAAAAAGAGGGAAGGGGAGGGGGGGTTGAAAGAAGGGCAAGGGCAAAAGCGGACGGGAGAGGGGCATGGAGGGGAAGATACGGAAGGGGAGGGGAAAGGAGATGGGGGGACGGGGGGGAAGGGAAAGGGAGGGACGAAGATAGAAGAAAGAGGAAGGAGGGGAGGAGGGCGGGCGGGAGAGAGGGGTCAGGTGTGGCAGTGCGATGACAGGGTGTGCTCACAACCGGAGGGGCAGTGTAAGTACGTGACAAACGCAGCAAGGATGAGCCTTGGAAAACTGAGCCGTGGGGAGGGGTGAAAGGAGGCGGCCAGGCCAGACACGGATGGGATAGGGGATTTTGTATCGGAAAGGGAGGGCCTCACAAATCCTTTAAATCGAGAAAAGGCTTTAAGCAGCTCCCTGGTGACGCCACTGTGCACCGTCACCTGCCTGCCTGCCTGCCATGGGGTTCGTGGAATCGCAGGGGGAATGGAATTGCACGTACGCGCACAGGTCGAGACTGAGGAGGAAACAGGTCGCACGGCGTCTGAGAGTAGCGACGAAGTGGTAGGGTGAGTGGGGCGAGAGTGGCGCCTTTGAGCGGCTGCGCGCCAATGCCCTCCGCTGCCTCCCCCGATGCACTCCCTTTTCCCGCCTCCTCCCCCTCATTCTTCTCCGCCAAAGCCCCCGTCGCCGCCATCCCCTTGAGGAGGGCCACGGCGCGGCGCATTTCCGCCATGTCGCGCTGCATGGCAGCCATGCATCGCAAAAAAGGGTTTGCCATAAAGCTGCGGGAATGTTGCAAAAAGGATACTTTTTGGATACCTTGGTTTTGCAACTTTCCTGTTATGGTCAAATGTTGCAGAGATCGTGGTTGCGGGAAAGTTGCGAAAAAATTGCATTCCTGCAACTTTCCCGCAACACAACCGCAACTTATCGGACAATCTTTGGACACGTTGCGTATACATTTCAGTCACATGTATGCAGTTTCACCACCTGCCACGTGGCCTGCGTACAGTTTCGACTTCCAAGTGTACGTACGCTGGTACGTACGTGAAGATTTTTTGCCACGTAAGAAAATATATTTTTGCCAGGTGTCATTCTCGATATGTGTACGGCAACTTGCCATGTGGGCCAATCAGACATGACCTTGAAGTGTGCGAAACTTGATTTCTACAAGCCGTCGTTTTGCCTGAACTGCACAAGCGGAGATTTTGTTTCACTAGCTGATTGTTATTGCTATTTTTTATGTACACATTCGTCTGCAACACAATATTTATGACATTTGCGTACATACTTCTGAAGTATACACTTTGCGATAAGACAGCAGAACAACGAACACAGCTAGACCTGAGTACTTATACGTAGCTAAACATCTTATATGAAGGGCACACATGGCGAAAAAATGTGTCCTTTTAACACCTGCGAACAAAACAATGACATGACGTTAGACTTTAGTTAGGGTACATTCCGCTGTGGACACATGTCCCAATCGATGTGTCCCAATCGTTTCTACCGCACTGTGGAAAACTGAACGAGAATGAATCAACTATGAATGAAGTGAGTACAAATATGAAACCCTAATTGGGTTGTACCCCCTATGGGATACCCCACTATAGCCTACACAAATAAGTAAGCTATAATGTTCTGACACACCCCCATAGGCAAAGTGGGGGAGAACAAGGGGTCACAAGACCAGTCAAGCAAAGCAAAGCAAAGCTCAGGGTGGATCACAAAGTCACCACACATTCCGAGCGCAAGGTCAAGGGCCACAAGGCCAGTTCGCATGCAAGATTATATATAGAGATATACAAGAGTCAAGCAAGCAAGAGCAAGAGTATATATAGGTCAAGGTACAAGCAAGGTCAAGAAGTGAGCAAGTGAGGCAAGACAGGCACAAGACCCAGCTGCGTGCAGCAACGCTGATGATCACAAGGCGCAAGTGCCTTGGTGAAGACATCAGCAGTGTTGGCCTCAGAGGCCACGTACGCAAGTCGCAACTGTCCACGCTGCTGCAGCTCACGAGCAAGAAAGTAGCGGAGAGCAATGTGCTTTGTCCTGTGCTCCAGTCGCTGCTCTCGACACAAGGCCAGCATGGCCTTGTTGTCTACGTACAGGACTGGAGGAGAACGAGGCGGCTCTCCAAGGTCGGTCAGCAGGTAGGTGAGCCAGTGAAGCTCCTGAGCAGCCATAGCCCCGGCGTAGATCTCAGCCTCACAACTGGAGCCGAGAACAGAAGACGAGCGAGTAGCCCGCCACGAGACAGAGCCGGAACCAAGGCCGAAGGTGTAACCCTGTGACGACCGCTGCGTAGCCTGGTCGTCAGCCCAAGAAGCGTCCGCGTGCCCAGTGAGGACCACTGGACTGCGCCCTCCAAGCACTAGCCCCATGCCCGACGTACTGCACAAGTAGCGCAACACCCTCTTCGCTGCAGCCATGTGCTCTGGTCGGTGTCTCCCAGGAGCAACATAGCGTGCGAGAATGCTGAGAGGGTATGCAAGGTCAGGTCGTGTGCAGGTCATCAGGTACATGAGGCAGCCAACAAGCTCTGCATACGGGCCACTCGACTCTACGGACTCATCCGAAGGCAGAGCTGAGAGCGAGTGGCGAGTAGGCAGAGGAGTGGCCTGAGGCGAGGAGTACGTGAAGCCGAAGCGCTGAAGGACCTGCTGCACCATGTGTGACTGAGTCAGGGTAATGGTGCGGCGTGCTCTGTCCCGGGTGATCTGCAAGCCAAGGTAGCTGCGCAGTTCACCCAGGTCAGTGCACGTGTGTCTCTTCTGCAGCTCGGACTTCACGTAAGCGAGTCCAGCAGTGTCCGCTGTGGCAAAGACCAAGTCGTCGACGTACACGAGGATGTAGAACGGCGGCAGAGAGGTGTCGGTGCGCAGAAACAGCGACGGGTCGGCAGTAGAAGGAGCAAACCCAAGTGCCGCAAGCGTAGTCCTCAGTGTGTCGTGCCACTCACGTGGCGCCTGGCGGAGACCGTAGACTGGACGCCGGAGACTCCACTGGGTACCAGGAGGGAAAGACCCAGTGAAGCCAGGTGGGCGACGCAGCCAGATCTCCTCGTGCAGGCTGCCCTGCAAGAAAGCAGTGCTGAAGTCGAGAGCGTGCAGCTCGTAGTCACGGTGAGCAGCAACGTGCAGCAGTACCCGAAGAGTGGTTATCTTCGGGGTGGGGGAGAAGGTCTGAAAGTAGTCAACCCCCTGCCGCTGACTGAAGCCACGAGCCACGTAACGCGCCTTGAAGACAGGCGGAGAACCCGGCGGCCGCTTCACCCTGAAAATCCACATGCCACTGACGATGTTCGCCCCAGGAGGGGGAACAGCGTCGACGTAGGTGCCTGTGGACTTCCAGGAAGCCATCTCTGCATCCATAGCTGCCTGCCACTGAGAGGAGTAGGGACCCTCTATCGCCTCCGCGTAAGAGCGCGGAGTCGGGATGTCTAGTGCATCCGGGTCTCCCTCAGGGGCTAGCAATACAGACGCGAGATGAGCTGAAGCGGCGGCCAGACACTGGAACTCCTCCAGCCTGTCCTCAAGGACGTCCGTGCCAAGGGCACACTCACCCCCGACGGACGGAGGACAGGCAGACTCAGACTCAGCGACAAGACTAGCAGCGTAGTCTAGACGACAGCGCGCAGCAAAGTCGACGAGTTCAGTGACAAGGGCAGACGCAGCAGAAGACTCGAAAGAAGGGTCAGTGACAGCAGTAGCAAGAAGACGCGTGACAGTAGGACTGGCAGCACGAAGAGAGTCCGACTCCGGGTCGGCAAGAGCAGGAAGAGAGGAAGTAGGAGGAGAAGGCAAAGGGGCACGCAGAGGAGCAGTAGACGGACGCAGAGACATCCGGTGCGTGCCAGGGACAGGAGGAGGACGCTGACGCGAACCACGACCACTAGTGCGCGCAGTACGAACAGGCGACGCAGGACGAGACGCAGGCTCACGACGCTCAGTAAGACCTCCAGTCGGACCAGCGTAGGGAGAAGGAGCAGGCAAAGGTGAGGCAGGCTGTAGCTGTGACTGTGACGAGACAGGCTGTGGACCCTCTAAGGGAGGAGGAGGAGGACCAGGAGAAGGTGTAAGACCAAGAACCTGCTGCAGGAGCGGAACGAAGTACGGCCGGGGCCGCGCGGCGACGCCAGTAACAGCAGGGACAGCACCAGTACCCCCAGCAGGAGTACCCGCTCCAGCAGCACCTCCAGTAGCTCCAGAACCTCCAGCAGCACCACCAGGAGCACCACCAGTCGGACCTCCAGCGGCAGTCTCAGCGTCAACACCCTCAGCAGCACCAGCTCCAGGAGAACCCTCAGACCCAGCAGCTCCAGCACCCACAGTACGAGCACCGCCGGGACGCTCGGCAGCAGTACCCTCTGCAGCCGAAGAACCTCCAGCACCAGCAGCACGCCTCCAGCGCCTGGCAAACCACTCACGTAGCTCCTGAGGGGAGAGTGGCTCTCGGCGAGACGAAGCACCTCCAGGCGGAGCACCCCCAGTCTCAGCACCCCCAGGCTCAGCACCCCCAGGCTCAGTACCCCCAGGCTCAGCACCCCCAGGCTCAGCACCTCCAGGCTCAGCACCCCCAGGCTCAGCACCCCCAGGCTCAGCACCCCCAGGCTCAGCACCTCCAGACTCCGCACCCCCAGGCTCAGCACCCGCAGGCGTAGCACCTCCAGTCTCAGCACCCCCAGGCTCAGCTCCCGCAGCAGCACCAGAGTCACCAATGACCTCGACAGGCTCGACCGCGTCTACCTGGGACACACCTGAAGGGGCAGGACCCTGAGGGGGGAGGGGGTCTACCGGGGGGGGACCTGGTACCAAGAAGAGCGGGGGCGGGGGGAGGGACGGAGTGCGGTAGGGGAAGAGGCGGTAGTAGGGTACCGACTCGTCGAACGTGACGTCCTGGGAGGACAAAACACGTCGAGAGGTGGGGTGGTAGAACTGCCACCCAGGGGCGTCGGGGGGGAACCCCAGGAAGACGCAGGGAGCAGCGCGAGGGGACAGCTTGTCCGCAGACAAGTCACGGACAAACGCCCGAGATCCCCAGACCCGGAACGCCGACGCATCGCCAACCTTCCCCGTCCACAGCAGCGCTGGGGAGGTCTCCGGCCTGGAGACCCTGGGGTGGAGGTTGATCTGATGCGCTGCGTACCTGACCGCAAACGGCCACAGAAAATGGGGGGCAGCCGCATGCATCATGGACGTACGAGCGACGTCCATGACCATGCCAATGCGGCGCTCTGCAATCCCATTTTGCTGCTCGGAGTCCGGAAGCGTGAAGGTCTGGCAGATGCCTTGCGCACGACAGTAGGCACGCAGAAGGCCAGAGGAGAACTCTCCGCCTCTGTCCGAGTGCAGACGCAACACAGGAAAGTCCGAGCCAAAGCTCTGCCTGAGCTGGAGACGAGCTGCGCGGATCCAGTCGATCAGCACCTCAGTGACATCACCCTTGCTGCGCAAGGGGAAGACTGTGGTGTAACGCGAGTAGTCGTCAACCACCAACAGGAAGTAGCGCTCGTGACCGAGTCCACGGACGCGGGCAGGGCCCCACACGTCCATGTGAAGCGTCTGCAACGGAGCCTCTGTCGGAGGAAACTGGGAGGAGTGAGGGGCAGCACGCTGGCGCCCCTCGACACAGGGGACACAGGTAGGGCCAGGGCCCTGAGGAAGGGGAGGTAGAGACCGGGGGAGACCAGACACAAGAAGACGGGAGGCCATGCCTCTGAGCCGAAGCAGAGAGGGGTGGCCAAGACGGTGGTGCCAGAGGAGGGTCTCGTGAGAC